AGGAGGGGGGGGGGGGCGGGGGGGCGCGCGGCTCCGGTGCGCCTCTGGGGGGCGCGGGGGCGCTCCCGCCGAGGGTTCAGATCCCACATACAGACCGGTTCCCGCTCACTGGCTGAGCGAGGTGTGGGAGCAACACCGAGGGTTGCAATCCCGTTGCCGGTCCTGGTCCGGTACGGGCGCGACACTGAGGGTTGTGATCCGTTGCCGGACACGAAAAAAGACAAAAAAAAGGAAAAAAAAAAAAAAAGATATAAGAATACTGAAAAATGTCCTATTGTAAAGCCACATGAAATACTAAACTGACTCCAGGAGAAAATAATCTCAAACATTAAAAGTTAACTTCATGTTAGAGAAAGCTCAAATTCCTGCTTACAGTTAATATACAAAGTCCAACACAGTTCTGCTACTTACACTTATTTCTGAGAGAACAAACATAAATCCCAAAAATTCCTGCTGGGCCTACTGCCCAGAGTCTAGTCTAGATCACTGCAAAAGTTTAATATATTGATTAAACTAACACTAGAGTTTTATGAACTTATTAGCATATAACCCACCTTGTAACGTCTATTAGACAACATCATACTTCCCAGTTATACAGGCACAATATTTCATGATTCCTGACTCCATCTACCTGGACCTTTACTGCCAGGCAAGCAGTGCAAACTTGCTGCTGGGTTTGCTGCTGCTGTTATTCTTACTGTTTCAGCCTCCAAACTCTTCCCTTCATCTCTCCCACTCCTGTCTACTTCACTTTGTCTAGAGCTAACGCATCACAACATTTGGCTGGGATTATCGTAAGAGCAAAACTAGTGTCTTTAGTCACTTCTTCACACTAAAACAGCTTTTACTTTAAATTTTATTATCTCAGTATTCCCCACAAATATTTTCCCTGACATCACCCCAACTTAAAAGTAATTTCTCCATGGGCAATTCTAACTGCCAAGTGTCAATTGCATTCCTCTGACACAGATCTTCTCCCTGCAGGTCAGTCTCATAGATATGACAGCTACCTACTCAGTGTGAGGGTTATTTTACTTTTTATAAGTTTGAAGAAAAAAGAATAAATTTGCCCACTGGTCTCATGATTTATAATTTTTAAATGTTCTTTACTCTTAAAAGAAACAAAAATGAACTACTTTATTAGAAAATGCACCAAAAGAATTAAAAAACTCCAATGACAAAGTCATTTTGTAGTCTTCCTTTCTTCAACATTTTCTACGTAAACAGATTGACTACAAATGCACATACTCTTTACTATAGATCCTATTAGTGGAAATACATCTTTAGGAGCTCAAATGCCTTAAAATAATGACTGTATACTATACCTTTATTTTAAGCCTAATGATTGCAGTATCACCTTTTAGTATTCTGGTGTTCAGTATAATGTAGAATTTTAAAGTACCAAAATGTGGTTTGATACCTTTATTTCTGAATTACTGAACACCTGAAGTCAGAATGAATGACATCTGACACATACCCTGCTAAGTATATGCTGCACCACACTTTCAAATTGAGCAAAGCTCAACTCCCTTAGAAAGTTTCTTCTCTACTTCCACAATGCTCTCAAGCAGCACTTCTCAAATTCAATGTATATCCCAATCAACGGGAATCTTGTTAAAAAGCAGATTCTGACTCACCAGGTCCACCGTGGGACCTGAAATTCTGCATTCTAATAAGCTCTCAGGTGAAGCCAACACTACAGGTCCACAGACCACAGAGGAGAAAAAGAAATCACCACCAAGAAAGCAAAGATTCTGCAACAGTATTTTTAACTAAACTATTAACTGTAATCACAGTTCAAAGACTTTCCAAACAAGTTTAATGTAAAACACGACAGTACTGAAATTAAGTTTATTCTGCATCCAAATCTCCATCTAAGATACCTAAAGAGGGCAAAGATGAATTGAAAACTATTTCTGTGAAACAAATACTACAGCCCACAGGGGGGAAAAATTAAAAATTAAAAACTACAGTCTATGACCTAGCAGTTTAATTCCTAGATATTTACCCTAAAGAAATGATAACTTGATGTTCAAATAAAAACCTGTAGGAAAATGTTTACAGCTCTATTCTGAATCACCCAAACTGGAAACATTTAGATGTACTTCAATGAGTAAATTTATAAACTGTGGTACATCCAAACCATGAAATGCTACTTGGCAATAAAAAGGAATGAACTACTGACACAACTGAAATGAAATCGCAAGGGCACATTATGCCGTGTGAAAGAAGTCAATGTCAAAAGGTTATATGTTACAATGATTTCATTTATATGACATTCTCCAAGAGACTGTTGTCTAGTGGTTAGGAATGCAGGAGGGTATGACTACAAAGGGACAGCACAAGGTATTTTTTGAGTGATGGAACTGTCTTAGAATGCAAACTTGTGGTCCACGTCTTGGGGCCCAGGTAAGCCTTGAATTGCATCAAGATCAGGCAAGCCCTGAATTGACAATGAAGCACAGCTGATACCACCTGTTCAAGTGTAGGTCATTTGACAACATTCACTAAGCTGGACTCATTCTTTCAGACACTGGTTACTAACTTTCTTTCTGTTTTGGTTTGTTTTTTTTTTAATTGGATGAGACAAATGTCTTAATGGGTTGAAAGAGTTACCATATTAATTTCTTGTTTGTTTGCAAATTTAAAGAGAAATAGAGGCATAGTTTTCATCCAGTTTTAAATGCACTTGTAAAAAACAGATGTGGGTTTTATAACAGGGATATCTATATGAAACTAAAAAAATAAAAGTATTACCTATTAAGATCAGCAACTACCTGACCCACATTCAAGTTTCCCCATTATTCCCACATTGTCCCAGGTTGTCAAATCAGTATTTAAGAAGCAGAATTTCACATCATTGTCACATGGATATAGGCCAGTCCTGGTTCATCAGGTCCTGGTCTCCTGGTAACAGGACTCCCTGCTATATTAACTCTTATTCTAAACACAGTGCTTTAAAAAAAATGCATCTCCCTTTGCTATATGGTTTACAGAATAAACTAACCTATCTGCCAAAATGTTGACCTTCTGTATAGTTTTTAACAAATATTACCTCGCATTCCACTCACAGCAGAATTCCATTGAAGGACAGTGTTGGGTTACAACATAAAAATCAAATTATTCAAATATTACACTTTATAAGAATTTATATATATGTAAATATTTGATTTCATTATCGACATTGCCAAAAATACTCAGTGGTTTGAATTTCAGCTACTGATTTACTTTGAAAACCTGAAAGATTTACTTTTAATTCTTAATAAAGGGTACATATAAAAAGGACCATGAAAGTACTTAAAATATAAAGAGGTCCACCTATGCCTTATATATACGAGAAAATCTAGGGGAGAGTTAAGACCTAGACTTGTACATATTTTGAAGTTCTCCAGCTAATTCTGAAATGAACCTAAAATTTCAGTGTGTTGAAGGAAAATTCAATATTGTATCCCGAAATCTGAACAGAAACAATGGGTGGTTCCCTGAAATAGAAAAAAAGAAAATCATAAAGAACACCACTTATGAAAAGTTCCTACAAGTTTTTAATGCTTATTTATAAAATAATTCTTTATTACATCAAATGCAAATCAAAATATATGATTCCACCAACGGTGAAAACTTCTAAGTTGGAAAGATTGAACAACTGTGCAAAAATTACAAGAAAAAAATTACAGACCAATATCCTTCATGAATAGCAATACCTATTTCCTTTAGAAAATAAAAGCATATTGGAATCCAGCAAAATATAAGGATAATACACACAACCAAGTGGGGTTTATCCAGAAACACCAGATTGATTTAACACTCAAAAATCAGCCAACTTAATAAATTGTACCTAGAGAAAAATTCCAAATATATGTAGATACCCCTCCTCTTCCAGGAAGTGTAGCTTAAGACCTCCCCACCACTCTCCTGCAGGGCAGCCTAGATTTCATGACTTGCTTCCCAAGAGTGGAATAAAGAAAGGCAAAGACAGTAACAATGAGGAGGGCTGGCAGACACTGCCTTTCCCAAATGATCAAGGTTAACTTCACCAGGGATGTCATGTGGCATAAGGGGCTGAGAAGGGAACTTCACCTCTATGGTATCCTTTCCAAAAATCCATAACTTCAGTCTAATCATGAGAAAAGTGACAAACAAATCCAGACTGGGAGGCATTCTACAGGATACCTGGCCAGCACTTCTCAAGGCTGTCAAGGTCATGAGATAAAAGGAAAAACTGAGAAACTGACACAGAACAGAGGAGAAAGGGAAAACATGACAACACGATGATGCCCTGAGTTGGATCACGGAACCGAAAGAGGGCACTTAGGAGAAAACTGGCAAAATGGAAATAAAATTTGGAATACAATTAAAAAGTCTATTATTGGGAATTAAAAGTTAATTTAATTCCCAATAATAAAATATGGGATAAGAACCACATGATTATCTCAATACATGCAGAAAAAGCATCGACAAAATTCAATACCAATTTCTGATTTCTTTAAAAAAATCTCAGCAAACCAGAAATAGAAAAGAACTTCCTCAATCTTATCGAAAAACTTCCA